CATGAGGTCAAGAGATCGAGACCAGCCTGGCCAACATGGTGAAACCCCGTCTCTACTAAAAATACAAAAACAGCCGGTGTGGTGGCGCAATGCCTGTAATCCCAGCTACTCGGGAGGCTGAGGCAGGACAATCAGTTGAACTTGGGAGGTGGAGGTTGCAGTGAGCCGAGATCACGCCACCGCACTCCAGCCTGGCAGCAGAACAAGACTCTGTCTCAAAAAAAAAAAAACAAGAATTGGTTTTGCCCCATTCAGGGGTGGCGGTTGGGGTTGCAGGAACTTCACCCCTCACTCACATCGAGCCTCGCTGGGGCCTCTGTGCCTCGTGGGGCAAGCCTGGGCCCTCCCGGCCACAGCTCAGGGAGATCGGGCTGGTGTCTCCAACCCGCTCCGTCTGAAACCTTTGCTCAGAGCTTCCAGGGCTGAGCCGTCTTTCTCTCTGTTTCTCTCTGGCTGATCTCAGAGCAGGCTGGAGGGATCCAGGACCCAGGTCTAACCATCAAGCCCGTCGGCAGGCCTGGCCTCTGAATACAGGGTCACGGGTTTGGCCCTCAGACCCATCTTACAGATGACACGGATGGTCCGGGTGGTCCTCAGTCGCTAGCTGAGATGACACAGCTGGGCAGGAGCAGAGCTGCCTTTGAGCCCTTCCTGCAAAGTCCTGGAGGGTCCGTCCTAACCTCTCGGTCGGCGACCAAGCCCTTTCTGTCTGAGGTTTTGGCCCATTAATGGTTCTTGTGCCGGCCCCCAGCAGTGTCCTAACTGTCCTCTGGCGGATGTGGAAGGGAGGGGCAAGAAGTAGCTGTGGGGAGGCCGGTCACAGACGGTCCCTATGGTCCCTGTCTGGTGTCTGAATCCTTCTGCAAAACCTCAGCTCCTGCTTGCTTACCCCCCGTGACAGGGAGCTCACTACCTGCAGAGTGACGAGTGGTGGACTGGGGGAAGCTCTTCCCTGATCTGAGCTGCAGTTGGCCTGTGACTCCTGCTTTGGTCCTAGATCTGCCCCGCCCCTGCAGGTGCAGAGACCAAGGTTCCTCCGTCACCGTTTCCGGAGAACAGGGGTCCAGGCCTCGCTGCACGGTGAGGCCCTTGCTGCTGCCTTGCTCTTCTCACTGCCTCTTCAATACACGTAGCAGGGGCCCCCGACAATCCCCTGTGCTCCTTGGTCTCGTTCCCCACCTGAGTCCTGGGTCAGCAGGGCCGGGCATGATGGCGCCATGCTCAGGGCCTGTCTGAGGCCGGCTAAGGGGTCAGTGTGTACCTGCGGGCAAAGGTCCCTCCCGTAGGCCCATTTAAAGGGACACACAGCACCCAGAAGCCATGCTCCCGGGGCCAGGGCCAGAGTGGCCCCCTCTTGCCTGCTGTTCTGGGAAGCAAGTGGCAGCAAAGGGAGGTGGAAGGACCCGGTGATGGCCCCTCCCTGTGGACACCCCTGCTGGGCTGTGGGGAGGACAGAGGGCGGGGTGTGGGGACCCCTGACCGGAACCATCGCGTGTGCTGGATGCTCAGCAAGACCTGAGCCTGCGCCCGGAGGTCGGCTGGGAGATGCTCAGCTGAGCCGGCCCTGGGGCGGGCCACGTGTCCCAGGTGTGAGCCGTGTGTCCCAGGTGTGAGCCGTGTGTCCCAGGTGTGAGCCGTGTGTCCCAGGTGTGGGCCCTGTCGCCCAGGTGTGGGCTGTGTTCTGAGTGTGAGTTGAGTGTGTCCTGGGTGTGAGCTGAGTGTGTCCTGGGTGTGAGCTGAGCGTGTCCCAGATGTGAGCTGTGTCCCAGGTGTGAGTTGAGTGTCCCAGGTGTGAGCTGTGCTCTCATGAGAGCCCTGCTTGCCCCCCTGGTCAGGTCTGGTGCCCAGGGCCTGGTTTTATTGTCAGCTGGGTGTGAGGTGTGTTTCACCTGT